ATTCAGTCTGCCTGAGTGTGCGGCATCCCAGCACCACTGACCCAACACAGCTTAACAGCATCTTTTCAGTCAATATTTTAGCTCTGCATCGAAAAAGATGGGCATTTACATCACATACAGTCATACGAAAAACTATTAAGATATTCATAATCTGGATGCTATATAGGGGAAAAAAACGATCATTCATTCATCTGTTCATCTATGCATTTTCATACCTGTTTTTGCACAGCAAAAAACGTAAAATCTATCCAAGGAAGCACGGTATGACAAAGGGGTGCCAATCAGGAAACATACACAAACAAACAAATAAACAAACCCAACTAACGGGCGAACGAATGAATGGATGGATGGATGGATGAATGAATGTATGATTCTGAACAAACAATTCTGTTTTGTATTTATAATCCGTCAGAGCAGGCTCTATTTGCAACCCATTTTGAGAATCCAGAAGTATGCATGCATTTCAGCACAATTTTACTGGCCTATGGTGTTTATTTGATAGCCTCTTGACCATGCAGAACACCATTATTGTTGAAATTCTGTAGTTGGCATTTTTCTGGATTGACCTATTAATTTCTTAGAGTAATGTATCTGTTTGTTACTGTTGGTACGCCAGCTGTATCAAAAGTCTAGCTTAATGAGGCAACAGGGTATATAACAGTGGTCATTCGGGATAGCCTCAGTTAAGTTCTTTGCCTCTGATGACCACCAATTTGCTCTGTATATTATTCAGGCAGAATTGAATAAAATATGCCAGGATAATCATATATACAATAGGGTTTGCACAAAGTATGTGTCATTACTGTTGATATTGTTGCTGTTAAAATGTTAAAATTTTAATGATTAGGTTTTTCATGGGCTTTTTGGCCCAGGTAATGAATTTATTTCATGTTAAAACTGACTTCATGGTCATGTTTAAGTAAAATTGATTTTGGGTGTTTTCTTACTTGCCTTTTAACTTTTCCTCCCTAAGTGCCACAAGTAAGAGTGATGTTAGATGCTGTTTGAATTTTTTTTAAAAGTACATGTTCTGAAAAAGTTAAGGTCTTTAACATTAGGCTTGTAACAATATATGTCAAAGTAAAGTAAAAGGATGAAAGGAAACAATTTTAACTTTTGACTGTATGTTGAACATTGCACTCGGTCACAAAATTGTGCAATGGATGAAAGTTTACACTTCTCACTGCTAGTCAACAGATTTCCTCTAAAGATATAGGAAATAACTAAATAACTAAACCTTTCTTAAACTGAATAAGCACTGTATGCATGATAACACAGATTTTGTATTATCACCACTTCATACCATGTATACTAGCTTTGGATACTTGCGTGTGTAACAAAAATATATGATGAATAAAGTTTTATATTTGAAACCACTGGGCATCAGATGAATTCATCGCGACAGACGCTGCTATTATATGCTGATAAGACAACCAAGACGTCATCAGCAGATATGAGCTGGGATGGTGGACTGAGACACATTCAAATACGCTTAATTTAATAATCACCCTCATAATGCTATATATGAAGTATGAGATGCATTTATTACATGGCATCACATAATGCTTTTAAAATAACAATATCATAATGTATTATTGGGTCATATACACACAGTTTTGTCCCCTCATCCAACTAGTATATCTTTTATCTATCAACATGCAGTTCTAATTACTGTACAGTACCTCTAAGGAATGTAATCTTTGACTATGACTGAGATGTTTTTTTTTTTTTTATTATTACCATTTTAATCACTCTTTGATTCAGGTATGCTTGACATATAAAATGCGAATTGGGCCACAAAATCCCTTAAGAGGGAGATATGGTCTTTAACAGTGTTCAGGTATGTTTTATTACAACTGGGTAATAGAAGGCTTATCTCAGAAACTGTTAAGTACACTCTTTGCTTTAGTGGACAAGCTTGAGGTACAGGTTTAGTAGAGTCTCAACCTACACACAGATTCTTTAAATTGACTGGCTGTCATTGGTATATTCCCAGCCAGTTACTCATCTTCAGTTTGTTCAGATCATATTTCTTTCCCAACAATTCCCCCGGTCAATCTGTATATGCTCTTATATGTGGAATCAGCACCTTAACACTGAGAGTACTTACCAGTTCTATACAGATAGGAGCCAGATTTAAAGCCGCAGGCTAGACTTATGTGGATGTTTACGTGCCAGTGAGATGTAATGTAATGGGACAACAGGTTTAATTTTAGCAAATGTCAAATTAACTTGGGTCTTGGGCATTATTTTAAGTGTTGTAATTTGTGTTGTTTATACTATTGAGGTAAAAATTAATTTACAATCACTCTATACTTTAATAAGTACACCTGCTTGTTAACACGAACATCCTGCTCCTACAAAGAGTAAATCAACTCTTGCAGGAAAGGTCACGCGGTTCTGCTACGGTGTAACTAAGCGCTATAATGGCTTAGCGGTATGATGAGCAAAGTAATTTTCCATGCTGCATTGTTGGTGCCAGGTGTGGTGGTTCTAGCATCCCAGAAACAGCCACCATCCTGGGACTGTGACACATTACAGCAACTAGAATTTACATAGAATGGTGCAATAAACAAAAAAAAGTAAAAAAAAAATACTGTTAATGAGAAAGGTCAGAGGAGAATAACCCGACTCATTAAAACTAACAGGAAGGCCACAAGTGCAACGCAACATCTCAGTGCCTCCGTGGTGTGCAGAAAGGCTTCACTGAGCACAAAACAATTCTGGAGGCAGAGGTGGGTCCTATCTGGTACTACAGTACCATGATTTTGTTGAACTGCTATCTCAGTGCATGGTGTTTTTGCACAGGCCAGAAGGTTAAGCTTTCCTGCTAAGTCTTTTGCAGAAGCCTCTGGCCACGGCAGTATTGATAGGGATGTTCATAGCTGTGCTGTCACTGGATGGATCAGGGTTACTATTGATCTTTCTACTAATTAAGTGCAAATGTGCACTTCTTAATTAATGGGCCACATTTTCTTTAAAACTAGAGTTTAAAAGAGTTTTCTATTTGACCCAATCGCGCTGGTTAATTCATATTTAATTAATTGTGTTTTTAAGTGTTTTGTAGATGAAATAAGTAACCTTTAAAACATCTAGTATATGAATGAGGCAATGTTATGAGTATTTATGAAATTAGGAAATGGTTATTTCCCTGTGAGTTTATATATTTGTGTAGAACTGATGTATTATGGTCACGTAATCCTCATGTGCCATTTCCTGATAATACCAATACAGAGTCACAACTTTCCTCTTCTGACTTGAGAAAATCCAGTTTTCCTTTGCCGAAAATCACCCTTTAAATAAACAGATGCATTGTGTTGTGTGTAAAGGTATAAATGAGGCATGCACTGCGCATATGGCATGGGGAGTGGAAATTAAAATGAGTTTTATTTATAAGGCATGAAGAAAATGAATTATCCCTATTGATCTCCTAAGATATGAAATCGACCTCCTGTGGGGTAGCTAATAAATTAGTGAAGGGGGGGCGGAAGTAAACCTAGTATGCTAACTTCTGTATCCTTCCTTTCGTGATGAAGATGGACTTAATAAACCACCAAATTGCATTCTTCACAGCTGCTCTCCATCGTAATGTGCATTCTGTAAGTATCGTGTTTATGCACAAAGGAAATCAAGAAGAATGTGCCGGCAATTTGTCTCGAATAAATAGTTTCTTGTTCGCCCTTTCATAAGAGCTTCCTGTACTCATATTATTTGGTACCTTTTTCCATTGTGTTTTAATGTTGTTTTATTTATTTATAATGTTGAATTTGTATATACCCTGTTCTTAAGGTTGTAGCATAATGTTTTCTGCTGTGTAGTTCAGCTGTCTTGTGATTGAACAAATGATGCAAAAAAAAGTAATTTCAGTATTTAAAACATAGATGTACTGTAGAATAAAAACATAGACTTAGAATAAAAATGTTGTTTTTTATAACTTGTAACGAGGGGGTAAAATCACACGGTCCCTTATGTATAAATAAAAAAAAGGATTAATATGGTCTTTGCTTTGTTTTATTGTTGCAAGAGTAGCTGACGGGTTTTTAAATTCATTACAAAATTTCTATCCCTTGTTAAAACAGGAAGTCCTTGGTTTATTGACTTAAAAATCTTTGGAGGATTTGTTTTGTCCATTCAATATCCAAAATGTAAAAGATCATCCAGTAAAGCGAAAACTGAATACTGGCTTGTTGATTGTAATTGACATTGTGTCTGTTACTGTAGCAGAGCACTGGCAAATGAAAAGAATAGTCTACGAATAATGCTGCTAGAGCAGGTATCGGTTCAGAGTTCTTGGTTTTAATGAAGAAGAATCAATAGAGCGTTTCAGCTATTTAAATCCCCAAAGGTACATGGGAACTAATACTTCAAACTTAAAATTTGTGAGCGCATTAGTAAGAATTCTGCAGCCTCAGTCTGCTCTTGGAAGAGTTTGATATGTACAGAAAATATGAGCTGCATCACTTCACCCAGATCTATGGCGGATTATGATGCCAGAGCAACTGTGTTGTTAGCTTCCGTGTCCAGGCATGAAGAGTCTTCATTTCAAGTCGGAATCGTGGACACGCCTACAGATACAGAACGCATTATGCTGTTAGGTTTTAACTATAAATTTTTTTAATCTTCTCAATGTAAAATGTGTACAAATACAATTCACTACATGTACACACCATGTAGAATACTGTTCTACATCATATTTTTTGGGATTTGTTTATATTATAATGAATTATAATGACAACATTGAGTACAATTCAAATTATGACCGATCAAAAAATTATACACATGCATAATAATATAACTGGGCTATAAATATGACAGGTTTTTAGATGTTTATAGAGTTAGTGTGTGTGTGTGTGTGTGTGTGTGTGTGTGTGTGTGTGTGATCGCGATATTGTTTGATTTTGAGGGCAACATTTTGCTTGACTGCTTCTTGTGATATGGAAATTCCCAGTGCATCTAATTCCATTCTTCTGTTTCTTTTTTCTTTTCTTCCTCCACGGAAGCTGGAAGTTACAGGGAACTGCGAAAAAATCTGACCTCATTGTTTGTCCAGCCAATCGCAGCTTCTTTGGCCAGAGAGCTGCTGTCTGGTTTGCCCTTTGAACGTGGAAGCCCCTGCACTCGGCTCTCCATGTCAGCCACATCAGGTAGGTCTTTAGTGGGATATACTTCTGTCCATTTATACTCCTGTATCATTACACTGCTCCATTCAGTAGATGCGCCTGCAGTTTTTCCTGCAGTCCCAGAAAGAATACTACCACTCTCAGGGGTGATTTGCATTCAGGTCACTGGTGACAGCCTTGAATGCACTGAATTGTAGGTAGGCAAGAATTAACTGCATAGTAATACTGAAATTACACCCAGTGGTTTTGCACAGTCTGAAGGTGAAACTAAACTTTCAAGATGGAGAAGATAAGGTGGTGAATGCTGGGTGACCTTTGGCTCTACATAAATCATCTAAATATGATATATTCATGCATAATGTAAGAGGAAAGGCAGCCATGTTATTAGGCAACAATAGACAGACTAGTTTCAAATTAAGGTTTAGACATTTCACAAGCAAATTATTATCTTGATTTATGTTTACAATGGCAAATGTGCTGCAAAATGAATAGTTATGGTATAGAATTTCCTTTTTAGTTACACTGCCCCTCATGTTTGACCACTTACAGGTATCAATGATTGGACTTTATTGTGCATGTTAATCATGTGACTCTTCTAATAAAATAATAAAAATAAAATAATTTCCCCGATGATTAATTTAGCTAATTAAGATATGTAATTAGAAATTTCTCCTGAATTTTAATTAATTCAAAAAATGATTTACTTTTTAGTCTGTGTAATTAATGATTTTCCTCTTAACCTGCACCCATTTTAGAAAAATACAGCCTCTTCTGAGGTTAAGTGTGTGTGTGTATGTATGTAATTTATAATGTACTGAAAGAGAAAAACAGAATACCCTTTGTATAGTCATAGTAGTGTAACATGGAGTACCGTAACCCATGCAGAATACATCTGTGCTATAAAATAAGATCTTCCCGAAATAAAATGCTTAAAACAACATGCACACGCATGATCTGGCTTACATCCTGACAGTCACAAGATGCTAACCACACACAAACAGATTTCTGCAAACTTACACATCTAACCAAACTCGAAATGTAAACAAACTTGCACTCACTGCTGTGCTTTTATGCTTTTCTCTTGCCATTATAAGCATTCTGCAGATGCCTGCCACCATGCAGAAAGATTATTTTGAAAGCTTTGACCCTTGGCAACAATCGATACTGTATGTAGCACTTGGTCGTCTTTTCCCACGCAACGTCCGGTTTACCCAGGTTGGTCAACTGCAAAGCGAAACATTTAAAAAGTGCCTTACCTGCTTAATTGCATTCCTAGCTTTGTATCTTAATTTTGAAAAGTCATTCCCCACGCCCCGAGTGACCAGCTATGGTCGTGACGGCAGTGACCAGCAGCATGAAGATGTCATGTAACATTGCTTTAAAACAAGGAGGGCTGTGATATGTCATTGAACTTGTCATTTTACTGCCTATTTGTTTATTCCTGTTTCGGGGGGCTGCATGTAATTAGGTGACTGAGAGGTCCTTCAAAACAGAGGGTCAGCAGTCCCCTTGTTACGAGGTGATTGGTTGATACCTCCTGCCATTCATAATGTCTTCTTGTCCTTGTTTAGTATACTGATGCTTAAAACCTCTACAGTACATGACTGATGCAGCTTAGTGATATTTTTCGTGATGCTATTTCCAGAAAAAGTATATCTTGGTTAAAGCAGTTTTAAACTACTCTATTGTCTACTGATCCTTAGAAGTTAACTTTCTCTTGGTATGTCGTGATGCTGCTCTCTTTAGCTTTGGAGAAGTCATACCAGTTCCCATCAATCTGATGCCAACCCCCTTTGTGGAACTTCAGAAAAGAGGAATTTTATAGTCTTCATAATTTCATTATCATTATTAAAATATTAGTATGTGTAATGTAAAATTAAATGGTTTCTGGAACTGATTTTGAGTATCCTGAAATGCTGAATGAAAATTGCAGTTTGGTCACACATAGGCTTATCTTTCAAACGACTTTAGTATCAAGATCACTGTCGTCTGAACAGAAATTTTTTTGCATTCTGATTCATGTTGGTTCTAAGAACGGCCAGGTGTGGAAGGAAAAAGTCAGGTCAGTGCAAGCAAAGTCAATAGAGAAATACGTCTGTCTCTCCCGCTCACCGGAAACTCCATAAGAGATTGGGATTGGACACGCATGAGCCTGATTAACACTGAAGGGGGGGGGTGGTTCGTTTCAATACCAGCCTCAAAGAGGGAAAGAGTTTCCTGGTCTTTGAAGCTACAGCAATGATTTTTTTTTTAACACCTCAGGCTACCTTTCTGAGTTCATAGTACAAGACAGTCCTTTGGGGTTGCTTGCATGCGAATAAATCATTTGTGTTTTGTGACTCCTTGGGTAAGAAGTCAATGAAATTGAATAAGCATGATATAAGAACTATCTTTTAAATTTTAAAGTGTGTATACACTGAAAACACTGATATCCGGTTAATACGTATAAATAGATCTACAAGCAGATAGACTGGCAGATGTTGTTTTTGGGAATTTTTTTGAATTTGAAAGAAACTGATGGAGTATCTGTGCCTCTCAACACAGTGCCAGACATATGCCGTAGGTTGCTAAGACACTATGCTTTTTGAAGAATATTTAAGGCAGTAGTTCTTGGACATTTCAATGTTGCATAACAAACACAATAGCTAAATATGACAGATCCACATGACATAGGGCTGGGAGGATGCAGCTATGCCACCTGCAGGTCAGAGTAGGTAATGCATCTCAAGCTAAGCAGGTTTGGGCCTGGCCAGTACTTGGATAGGAGACCAAATAGGAAAGCTGGGTTGCTGCTGAGAGAGGTGTTGGTGTGGCCAACAGGTTAGCCCATCCTGTGGTCTGTTGGGATCCCAGTGCAATGATGGGGATACAGTGCTGTAAATATGGTTCTATCCTTTTGATGAAACGTAAAACCGAGGTCCCGACTCCATGATGTCTTTAAAGATCCCTGGGCATCTTTCAAAAGTGTAGGGGTGGTACCCCAATGCCCTGGTTAAATTGCCCACTATGGCCCATTCAAATCTGGTCACTTAATCATTCCCTATATCTTCCTGGTGAGTTCTCTCCTGTGCCTTCACCACCTTAGGTGGCCTAATGGTTAGGGAAGCATAATTGAAAGATTGCTGGTTTGAATCCCTGACTGGCAAAGCACCACTGAGGTACCCTGAACAAGGTGCTGCCCCCTGTTATGTCATGATGTGACATATGGATGAAATGCAGAGAACGCATTTTGCTGTGGTGTGTCAAAAAATAACATCTAATCACAAATGCGTCCTCAGTTACTGTCTGATGAGTGTAGTGGCACAAAATGGCTGCCATTGCATCATCCAAGTGGATGTTACACGGTGGTTGTGGTTCAAGTGGCTCCCCATTTGTTCTGTGAAGTGCTTTGGGTGTCTTGAAAAGTGCCATATAAATGTAACGTTCATTCATTCATCTGCACTGGGGGAGAAAGGGAGCACAGAGCTCCCAGCTTCAGCAAAGGCGGAGAAAGTACATAAGTTAGGTCTGCAATGTGGTGCTAAGACAGCAGGAGAGATTAAAATCATTACTGAAATTGCTTCAGTCGAATAAAGGATTTTCACCTGTCATTGGCATCTTTCCTCATCTTATGAACTAAGGGACAAATGATGAAAGTTCAAATACACAGTAATGGTATTGCCAGGATACAACTTGTGGGGGTGGTGTAGTAATACACTGTTACTTAATGTGTTAATTAACCAGAAACTAAGTGTTAGTTACTCATTGATCCCATGTTGGTTCATGATTTATTCATAATGGTGCATGTATTCTGTGCAGTTACTGTATTTGTTCTTGATTTGCCCTTGAGTTTTTAGGCAGTTACTATGTTAATTGTGCCCCCTCAATTAAAGTGTTACCGGGAATTCCAATGAATTACCTTAAGGAATTGAAATGTGACATGCAAGTGAAGAGAAACAATGAAAGAAATGAATAAAAGATAAAACAACTTCGACTGTTGGTGCTTTGTTAATTGAATATGGGTAAGTACTTTGTGCATGAGCAAAATATATATTCAGTGCTTAGTTAATTAAGCAAAAAAAGCTAATCCCAAATCTCCAATAATTCTCAAGTAATCTTTCTTATGAAAACTCGAACATTTTTTGCCTGGCAAATAACTCTGCTAGAACTATCACCAGGGTAGGGATCTACATTACTTGGATTGAGTCATTTAGCCTTATTTGAAGTCGATGGCATGTTAAGTGGTTTTAAAATGGGATGAATGAAAATTGCAGTTTGGTCAGCATCTGGCAGATTTACAACTGTGATCAGTGACCAAAAGCAAAGTCCGATGACGCGATAAATGAAAGTCGGTAATAAATAAAGCAAATATGTATCGTTTGATGGACTGGCGTCACATCCAGGTTGTCCCCTGTCCCCTGCTGTGTTTCCCATGCTGCCTGCGATAGGCTTTGGGCCTACAATACCTCAATCACTTACAATACCTCAAGTTGTTTGGAAGATGAATATATGAATGAAATTAAACAAATGAATAACAATGAACATAGCATGTTTTACATGAAAGTGTTTTACATAATAATTTCTAAAAAGTGTTAAAAAGGTTAAAGTTGTCAGCGGACATTAGCTACATTAATTAATCACCAAAATTTTTATACCACCAAATAGCTCTTGTATATAACATGCCCTCTCCAATGATCCAGTTAATTCAGTAAATGAGCTTTAAATTTAATGTCCTCAATTAAATTGTTAAGCCAATCTTATTCATAGTCTGTACTGTAGCATTAAAGAAATAATGACAATCTGTTAATCACATGGGGGAAAAAAACTGTATGGGATGCTTTATGCCCTAAAATAATAAATGTGTCAGTTGACATTGTTTTTTTTTCATTAATATTTTACATTTATCATAAGGGAATATTTCATTTGGTAGATGAAATTACAGATTACCTAAGAACGCAGTCATACTTGCATTGTTTATATAGCAGATTTGCCTTGGTCAGAAGCATATAAATATACTTTTAAAATCATTTTTCATGTACTCTTCTGCCCCTTTGTGGCAGTTTAGAGCCAGGGATAGAGTGACAGCAGGAGAAATGCTATCGCTGATTAATGAGTGAGCTCATGTAAAGCAGGCATATAAGTGGGAAACTGGCAGCTCTACGAGGGACGTTAGAGAGTTAGCATCACCTCCTCAAGAAAAGACCATCTGGAGAAAACAATCCACAGATCTGAAACTCTTTCCCATTTAATGCAAAGTGATGGTGCCGTTCGGTTGCAGCTCACGATCCACAGTAAAACCGTAACCAGAACGAGGAGACACAGTTGTCCAATAGCTTAAGAAAGATTCATCAAACTGAAGCCAGCTGTGGCAAAATGATTTCTGTCCATGTTTGTGTTATATACTAACGCTTCATGGTGGTATTCTGCCTTCTTTACAATGTGAGCTCCTGTTACAAATAAAATACTCTGGCGATTTACAGAATTGATACATTTTGCTGACCGGGGGGCAGTTTAATTTGCTGATCAGACGGAGGGTCCCCTTTGATATGTGCAAGATATTCCCAGTAGATGGATTGGGGGTGGAATTTGTATCAACATGTCGATCGTGATGCACTGTTTGGCGACCGCTGCTTTAATGGATACAGACGGCACCCTTCAGTCCTTTGAGGTTGACAAATCCTGGCTGCAGTCAGATATTTCCAGTTCATTTTGGTGGATATGGATCACATTCAGTGTTTTTTCTGCTTTACCGCTGCTGCTGTGGGTTTGTTATATAAGTGCCGTGAATATAGCAGGACAACAAATACATGGATTTAAACCTATCCCTCTTTTTTTAATTATTTTTTTCCCGACCTTGTGGGGTGCAGTAGTATCTTGTAATTTCGCGTCTGTGACGTACCCTTTTGGTGATAACTCATATTGATTTCCTTGTGATGTTCCCATCTGAGAAGGTAATAAAAAGGAAGGTCTATTCACCCTAAGGCCAGAACATCTGCCAATGGGTGCTGCAGTCTTAGGATGGAATTTAGAAGCTGCTATTGCCGTAACCCTGTGCCACTCCTGCATTGTATTTCCTGCGGTTCTGTTTGAGGTTTGCAGTTTAACTGCGAGATATTTCCCCGATGTGCATCTCTTTAAAGAAATCACTCAAAGGGATTCGAGCTGGTGTCTGAAGCTGTATTGATTTTGTGATTGATTGATAAGACATGAAATAAGATAGAATATAAATAATCCACACTTTGTATTGAATTTACAGAAAATACAATAAAGATAAATACAATAAATGCAACCTGGAGGAACAGAATAAATAAATGTGCAATGAGGTGTAAAAAGTTGGAAATGAATGTAAATGTGCAAAGTTCACAGGTAATATGATGCGAAAAGGCCACATCTCTCTCCCCATATTAATGTGGATCCCACATTCCTACAGCGTGCAGGATAGGTTGATTGGTGAGTCTAAATTGGCCCTGTGTGAGTGTGTGCGCCCTGTGGTGTGTTGCCGACTGCCCGCGGTTGGTTCCGGCCTGTGCCCTTTGTTCCCATGATAGGCTCCGGTGACCCTGGTTGTGGTTAAACGGTGTCTGAAAGTGGGTGGATGGATGAATAGGCCACATCAATGTAAATAAATAACATAAATTATCTAATGAAGTCAGGTGTCCTGATATATCCATGGTGGGGTACAGATAAAGGTAGATCATGGAAGAGGATGCATTTAATAGCAAAATTTTGTTGGGTAAAAAGGAATGTGTATAGCAGTTGGTTTTGCCTATGGGAGAGATGCTGATCTTGCTTCCTCGTTGAGGGGGGTGGGATTCCATGTTGGGAATGTAGAGTATTTGGGCACCACGTTTCCCTCCTCCTAGTGTGTCCATGCTCAGCCTATGAAAGAGCTGGCTTTCTTAATCAGCTTATCCAGCCTGGAAATCTTCTTTCTCTTGGTGTTACTTACCCAGAAAATAGTAGCAAAGAACAGAACAGTGGCACCTAGGGACTGGTCCATCAGATGCTGCAGTTTGCTGCACACATCAAAGGACTTGAGTCTCTTAAGGGAGCTCAGTCTGCTCCTCTTCTCTAGAGTCCGTCTGTTGTTCCACTGCAGTCTGTTATTGATGTGGGCTCCACGGTACTTATGGCACCAAACCATCTCCACAGTCCCTGCCAGGATGTTAACAGCTGTCCCAGTGGTTCACTTGAAGTACATCACCATCTCCTTACTCTTTCTGACATTAAGCTGCAGGTGATTCTTCTCGCACTGTCCCATGAAGCTCTCTGCCTGTAACCCTCTTCCCTCCCATCACTGACACATCCCAAAATTGCCATGCCATCAGAGAACCTCTGCAGGTGGCATCGTATTAGAAGTCTGTGGTGTTCAGCGTGAACGGAAAGAGTGACAACAGCGTACCTTTGGGGTGCCCCTGTATTGCTCAGTACCACATTAGATGTGCAGTTGCTGAGGCCTGCAGGCAATCAAGGTATCATCCACCTGCAGTCTTCTGAGCTTCTCAGTCATGAGAGAGACATGTAGGAGAACAGAAAAGGACAGATGTATGACAGTCTCCGTATCCTTCATCCCTACCTGCAATTCATCTCATTTTGGATGCTGCTTCTGTCTTTTCACTTTTAATTAGTGGGTGGCTATATGCTGAGAATTTGTTACATGTTTTTGAAGTGGTAATTCAGCTATTTTATCCATCAACACACTTTCATATTAGTTTAGGCAGTGTAAGAAATCAACTTTAACATGTATGGATGCTTAAGTAAGTGTCCAAGAGGTAAAGCACATATTACAGAGCATTGATGATTTACTGTAAGCGTCGTTTTTATCAAAGATATGTAAACCTTGCAAGATGCAGACCAGTAACCAGAAGAATTATAGAGATCAGAGGGAGCTGAATTTGCAAAGATCTTTTTCAACATAATAGCATATGAACATTCACGTACAATGTCGATTAACATCTGTCCTTGTAGCATCAACTTTCAATATTATATTGAAGCAGTTGCTATATCTGGACTGTGTCTATGTACCCTATGGTTTGCAACAATGACATCTTTAATGTGGGTCATCCACATGTAATGCTTATGCTAGAAAATTAGACGTTTGGTGCAATAAGCAATTGAATCTCCATTCATGCCCATGCAATACAGTGAGAACATTCAACCTCCACACACTCACATCAGGGACCAGATATGAACCCCATAGCTAGAGATGTGCCAGCTACTTAATATAAAAAAAATACATGAATATGAAATTAAAAAATATTTAAGCTAAAATAAGATGAGAGGAATATGAAATACATAACAGTCATTTTTTGTAACTATAGACACTCCTCTACTTACGAATGAGATACGTTCTGAACGGCCGTTCGTAACTTGACATGTTCGTAAGTCGTTATTCAACATCATTTTGAGGGTATACGCAAGTACAAAGAGTTAGGATGCTGGGAGTACGCACGCTAGTAGCTGCTCCTAGGATGCTGGGAGTACGCACGCTACGCTGCTGCGCGGTGGGAGTAGCGGCCAGAAGTTGTACTAGGCAGAATTGGCGCGCAGAAAAAAAAATTGTGTTGCGGACAGGAAATGGGAGCTCAAATGAACACAATTTGGACTTACAGTCCTCTTCGTTCATATGTCTGAAAGTTCATAAGTTGAAAGTTCCTAAGTAGAGGAGCGTCTGTAATATGTCTCCCGGGTGTGACTATAAAAATATCCTTAGTGCTGTTCATGTACCAGAATCATCCTTTTAGTAATGAATGATTAAATTTCTGAAGCCTTTTTTATTAACCATATTTGGAAACCCATTCTCCAAATTTGAAGTGAACATCTTTATGACCCCTCTTATTGACTCAGTTTTGGATTGCAGTCTCTGCTGCCGCCCTTAAAACCTCGACATAAAAAATAAACATACTGTTCAGTTATTTCTTATACTTGAATTTGTTTTCATCACTCTTCTACACCTCATCACGGTCAGGGCCATCAGGGGGCCGGAGCCTGTCTCAGGCAGCAAAGGGCTCATGGCTGTGACGCCCACTAAACAGGATGTCAGTCCAGCACAGGGCACAGGGCATATGCAGGCGCACACTATGGGCAATTTCAGAGATGCCACTTACGGCATGACATGGCGAGAACAAGCAAACCGTACCCACAGAATAGAGGTGCTATTCAGACCATCTTCAACCCTGGAGGTGTGAAGCAGCAGCGCTGACCGCTGAGCCATCATGTCACCCTTAATATATTTTGTTTGCTTTTTTTGTACTTTACAGGCAGAAGAAATATTACATTAAAAATTGGAACAAAGGCTGAATACAAGACGATCTACAATGTAATTGGATACTTGAAAGGGGCAACCAATCCTGGTAAGCGGTTACTTTGACCCGGGATAAATAACTGTGTCGTTTTTATTGCATTAAAAAATTAATTACCATTTTAATTACTGAACAGCCATAGCTCCTTTGATTTGCAAAACTGAGTCCTTACACACTGTAGTTCCCTTGAATCTTCTTTTTTACACAAGGTTTATTGTTGGGATATGTGACAAGAGATGGCTACAACCAACAAACAAATAAACTAATAATAATAATAATAACAAAAATAACAATAATAATATGTACATTGTCCATACATCAGTTTACAAACAAATGATGGGCAATCATGAACAAAATAATTGAAATGAATTTTACATTTAGTTTACATATAGAGTAACATCTTATATTTTCAACTGCCATCTGTTTAAACTGAGTCATCTGTTTACAGTGTTTATTCCCGACATAGCAGCTGATTCACCTGTATAAGAATATTGGGCAAGATTAAAACGTTGCATATACGATTTTTTGACATTTGGCTTATTCCATGCGGAGATTTTTTTTTTCCCCTGAAAATTATTTGCTCATCTCAGGTTTAGCCACAACATCCCTATTAGCTTTCAGTCTGGGCTTTGATTATCTTGGTCAGGCCAGGTTTGCTTTGCTTTACTGTGTTTTACTCTGACCAATAATAAATGATACTAGTTATACAAAAAGTTCCACCTTTATCTATACTGTGTTGGTCCGCAAAGTGTTTTCTTGAGATAAGGATTTTTTAACTTCTTAGAGACAAGGGCTTGTAGTATGTCAAATGTCTGACTTGTACCTATACAGTGCATGTGTCACACAAATTGACAGAAATATCTTTCAGTACTGATATTGAGAAATTCCGATTTGTCATCTTGTTTGTCATTTGCCAGTCTCCCATGAAATGTGACGTTCGCTAATGTGATTTCCATGTGCAGATCGATATGTGCTGGTGGGCGGTCGCCATGGTAGATGGTACCAGGGCAATGGGGCCGAGTGGATTGGGGGCGCAGCTGTCATGACCCAGATCATTGCCTCCCTGACCATGCAAGCCAAGCAAGGTTGGCAGCCTGACCGTACCACTCTTTTCTGTTCGTGGGGAGGATCTGAATTCGGCAATATTGGCTCCTTTGAGTGGGGAGAGGTAAATTTAGAGTGTTCAGTTTTTTTTCCCGCCTCCCTCTGTCTTTCATTTCTGTTTAAACACTAAATAATTTTCACCTACCTGTGTTGTAGACTTTATAGATTAAAGTGCTTATTCTGAGAAGACTGTTTGATATCACTTTACTTGAGCACAAATAATGTAGTAGTACACTCTTACTTAATGCATTAATTAACCAGAAATTAAGTATTAGTTATGTACTGATCACATGTTTGTTACCTATTAATCATAACAGTTGATATTTTATTGTTACTATATTTGTTGAATTTGTACTTGATTAGTAACTGAGTTACTAAGTTACTTGTGCCCCCTCAAGTAAAGTGTTATCGAAGATACGTTTATAAAGTATGCATTTAGCGTTATACTTAATGACATGGACTTGCATCCAAGAAAACTGTTTCTGTTTTAGTACCTATTTACAAGGCACGTAACCTGAATTGATCTTATAAAATACCCATCCTTAAAAAAGAAAATGCTTAGTCCATTTGGATAAATGTGTCATTTAAGCTATTAAATGTTGTTTCAAATGTATACTGAGGTATCCCTACAACACAAAAGGCAGCTCGCATGGAAACTCAAAGCTTTCTGTGCTTTCAAAGCTTATAAATGGAAACTGAGCGGCATTAACTTCTTCGTTTGAGTGCACTGGCCTTTGAAATAGACTATGATTACTAATGAAACTAAAGGAGGTACAATATTGTGCAATTCATGGATAGACCTTTATTTAATTTAGAGCTTGGATTTTGCATAGATTACAACTCAGCTGCATTGCAGTGGAGAGATGCATCATATTTACCACGAACCTACAGGAATCTTGGTCATGAATTTGATTAACATTACAACCCTAAGAAAACCAATTCCTCCTCTGTACCTATTAATTACTCAGGGATTTTATTGTGAATAAGATGATTTGTTACTGGTTTGAGTTGTTCGTGTTTTGTTTCCATTTGACCAATTCAAAGTTAGTTAATAACATAATACAACACTATGTCGGTATTGACTGTATATATTCTTGTGCAATTTATGATAGCAGTTTGTAAAGATATATTTCTGTGTCAGACTCACAGTATTTTTTTTTTATTGGGAGCTTGTAAATTAAAAGTAATACCCAATGAGGGTGCTGTTTTCTCATTTGACTGAAAGCAGCCATGTATATTTACATCCTTTAAAGGACAGAACAACTGAGTGTGCTGCTGTATTCTGGCAGGAGAATCGGGTGGTGTTGCAGAGTAGTGCTGTCGCCTACGTAAGCCTGCACCATCCAGTAAGAGGAAAGGGAGTCTTACAGTCGGTGACGTCTCCCTCCCTGCTGCAACTTATCTCAGACATTCACAAGGTAATGCTGATCTCTTGCCTTCCACACATTTCTTACCCATACAGATAATTTTATCTTAGTTTCAGAGTTTGACTTTTAAGTTTTCTCGCCTAATTTTGAGTTAGACACAGAACTGAGACATCATTGGTGAACTTTATTAACTCAGACACTGCACTGGACAGAAGTTTTTTTTTTTAATCATCGTTTCTTGTTTTGATTATTTTATACTTTTTACTATGAGTTCTGACATACTTGGTCTGACAGATTCATTTGCTTACCTTTAGTATTTCAATAAAGATAAAAATATTGTAACCTTTTAGCGGCTATGAAAAATAAGTTCAACCTCGTTTAATGAAGTGGACTTTTAAAGCGAAGTATTATACTAGAATCGCTGCAATAATTGCCTATGTTCATCAGAAAGATATCTAGCTCTATAAAGATGAAATTTACTCAGATTTTCTTCCTCTAAATCTTGTGGATAGTTTGCATAATAAGGCTTGTTAGAGAAGTGTTTGAAAAGGTTAACTTATTTCAGTGTTGTCAGTGTGTCCAGTGTTCAGAACTCATGAAAGCACCGGCATTCCCTTTGGAATAAAGGGTAAAAAGATTTAAGCAAATGACAAACTTTGTCATTATTTCCTCCAAAGCAATAACCTAATTAATTAACCTAAATGCCAGTTTACCTGTGACATTTCGTAGTAATAAAATGTTTTTCAACCTATACTGTTTGCATGAGCAAAATTCCAAGGAAATTTTTAAGCCACACCTAGACAGATTACATAACGACATTCTCTTTTTTATTAATTATTATTATTATTATTATTATTATTAGTAGTAGTAGTAGTAGTAGTAGTGGGAGTAGTAGTTGTCATAGTAATAATAATAATCATAATAATCATAATAATCACAATAGTTTGTTGACAATTGACATTTGTTTGTTGTTTGTTTGTTTATCAATAATTAAAGCAGAGACCAGTAAAAGTTAGAATGAATATGTAATTGTATAGTCTAATTGCAGGTATGGGCTGGTTTAGCAGAATTCTTGGCAGTTACAACAAATAAGATAAAGTTAATCAGTTATTATTATGCATCAAAGACTACCATACAGTAGACAAGAGTATTTTTCTGATGGATTTGACATTGTATGTCAAAGTCTTTATTGGTTTTAATAATTAAATGTTTTCTGATCACCACTGTCATGAACATGATAACCATACTAAAAATTATAATCCATATTTAATATTCTCCTGTTTTTTAATAAGTAACGGCAATGCACAAATCCGGCACCCAGGGGACCGACTTTTCCACTTGCTACTCCCTAGTCTTAGTCACCAATAGGTATTAACCAGAAGGAATGTAACAGTGTAATGGAGAGACGGCTATCTGCCGTTAATAAGCAGGTAATTGAAACGGCAGGATTCTGCCTGATAGAGAGTTGCAGTGAGTGCAGTGTGAAAGGTCACAGATGTAGCCTATAGAGTCCACTCACAGTTGGCCCTTTTTCTAAGCTTGACTCCAGCACTACCAATCAGTTCTTCAGCTGCTTTTCTATGTAACAATCACAAATAACTTCACAGAATAAAGCTGAAGATTTGTAATTAAAATTTATTTCAGTTTTCAGCTGTCCACTAATCAAATAATTAAAACTTGTATCTGCTTCCTGTAGTTAAAATGAGCTTCCTGCTACCACAAAGCAAATTATTTATCTGTTCCTTTTTTTCAGCCTTTTGATATTATCACTTCAACAGTCATGTGTCAATATCTTTCCTGAGTGAACAGTTTAACTTATAACTTATAATAATTGTATAATGCCAGTTTAGCTTATACATTTAATAGAAAAGCTTTGTTATTTACAGTGTGTGTAATATGAACACTACTGGGATAACACATTCTTCAGAAAAATGCATTTGCATGCGACTACTGATAATACAAGTTTTGATAAATACTTTCAGGGTTTCAGTTATTTATGTTTTGCTTTGTGTTATCTGTTAAATTCCAAGGTGTTGAAATGCATGCACGCTAACAAGAAAATGTACAATACCCTACCTTTACATTTCTTAATTTATCCCTATCTCTTGTCTGCTCTCTTGACAATTTGTAATGACTTGTGGTAATTGCACTTGGCCTATCAGAACCCTGCAAGGTTATAGTACAATAGCTGCCCTTATTAGCATTGTAATTAAATGAACTCAGATCAAATCAAAGATGGCAGGTCCTTGTGAAGCTGATATTGGGTAATTGCTCTTGAATTATCAGGAGCTGGAATTTAGATGGAGAGCCTGAAACAGCTGAAGACAAGAGGTATTGATAAACAGCGTTATATTACATTAGGCATGACCTGAGTGATTTCTTATCTTCACTGTAAGGTGGCAATAAGCAATGGAAATTAATGACAGAGCAGAAACATTTGTGTTATTTATTTTAAAGGATAGTTCTTTCATGAAACCTAAAGCACAAGTATGAATTATGGAACCATTTTAAAGTATAATTAATAAAATACACGTACCTGAAATTTAATTAAAACAAGGCAATTTAATTTAAATTTAACGATTGCTAAATGGCTTGTTACTTGTCTGCAAGTATGCGTGGAGTTCCCGAAAAAACAATAAGACAGGTTTATTTTGGACGATCCACAAATTCTTAAATTTAAAACTCCATCCATTTTCGGTAAAAGCTCATCCTATTCATGGCCACAGGGGGTCTGGAGCCCACTAGCGCAAGCCAGGGAACTACCCAGGATGGGGCATCAACCCATCACACTCATGCACCATTCACATCTATGGGCAGTTTCATAACTCCAGCTCACCTATGCATGTTTTTGGACGGTCATACATCACTGGAGGGGACATGAATAATATAGTAGTACATGCTTACTTAATGCACTAATTAAGCAGTAACTAAGTGTTTGTTAAGTATTGATCCTTTGCTTCACCATTAATCAATCACGACAGTTCCTGTATTCCATTCAGGCACTATATTAGTTAACAGTTAACTAATTAGTTAATAATGGTAAGACTTCACTTGAGAGGGCCAAAAAATACATAACTCATTTACTACTCAAGTAAATAGCATGAACTATATAGGTTTCCCCTGAAATAAATTATCATGATTGATTAATTAACATGAGATCTGATGACACAGGGAGAACATGTAAACTCCACATACACAGAGCTATGGGGGAGACTCAAACCCTCGTTCCTAGGGTGTGAGGCAACAGCACTAACCATTACGCCACCGCACCAACCTAATCTTGTCATTATTGCCTTAATATATGTAACATTAAAATTAATTGATACTAAATTTATGGTTTTATATTCATTTTGAAATAAATATCCCTTAATATGTCACCTTCTTAAATAGACTTCAGAATTGACTAACATTTTTTGCCTTTAGTAGACATGATGGACAGAGATACGATTTTCTTCCGTCCTTCGTGCCATGGTGCTTTAAGCTGATAGCTTTAGGTATCAGCATGAATCCGATCTCACCCAGCGGCAGCACATAGCATCATCCTGCTGGGTCCCATTGCCCTTCACTTACGGATTTGTACGTTTTTGTTCCTGAACATTTGGTCATTTGTTCCTATTATGACGTTTATCTTTGGGAAGTGTTGCTTTTAAGGGACTCGATAGTCTCAATATTTCGAGGTACTTCAGCCATATTATAAATCACATTTGTTAGACACTGGTAATACGTTCCACTTATCATTCTTCCCGGCTGTCTTCAAAACTGAGACAACACTGAATTGATGTATTTGGAATGGGTGCTTGGGAACCAATTATGTTAAAACAATAGTTCTATAGGGATTACAGAGCCTAGCATACAAAATAAATAGAGATCTCTCTACAATGAAACAAAAAGGTTCATTTTTCTTCACTTTTGCAAGCTTGAATTCCCTTTGTATAGAGGTTTTCTGTTTTTATTTTTGATGGCAGTGTCCTGTGAGGAATGTTTCATTTGTTTATGCAGTAATTGATAACGTGTCAACAATATCAGCTATTTTGGCATGGTTTTTCAGCTTTCACATAAGAATGCCACACGTGTAGCATGTAATACATAAAACAATAAGTCATAAAGAAGGAAACGTTTATATTTTAGTGCTACTTTTTCGTACCTTTATTAATGCTATTTTGTGAAATTACTTTGAAATGCTTAAAATTACTTTAAAATAGATTTCTTACAGATTCAGTTTTTTAATCGTTTTCAATTACCCAAAAACGCATTCTTTCTATAGTGCATCCATTGTTTTATACCTGGCTTTAAATTAAACAAGTCAGGATATTTCATTACATAAACCTAGGTTATATGAGCTAACAGGAAGTTAAGTTACTGGATTTATGATACAGATCTTTACATATGTACAATCTAATAATAACTGATAATTTTTTGTTTACAAAATCCCACCATTTAATATTGTCATTATAATACCATTATGTTTCCCTTGCAGTGTGTACCTTTTATACAAATGTGTTTTTATTATATTTTGCCATTCATTCACCCCATGGATGTAAGATAGTTTTATAAATTGCTTTTATGTTTTGTTTGCACAGCTTGTCTACCTTATAAAAAAAAAACACTCGGAATGCATCTATCGAGCCATGGTATTTTTTGAAGCCCTGGATATGACAACATAATGCCAATCTGTCACAGCAGGATTTTACTTGTGGCTATGATGTAGCAAGCACAATCTGAGAATATAAGCTTTGATTTTACTGTCTTAGAATTCTGTGCTGTCTGAGAACAAGTGTCAGGCTGGGATATTTCTAGAGGATATCTAATTTAGTTATAATGCATACTTACCCTGGAGTTGTGGAGTGTGTCTCCCCCGACACACACATTTTTTATGGTTGAAAAGTCACTTTATAGCTAATTGAAAAGGCAGAATTGTCCAGTGACTCACATTGCTACCCAGCAGTGTACCTGCCTTTGAATGTTTCCGAACAATAGAGGCAACTGAGCTGATGGGTTTGTCACAGTTGTTTGACTCTGCTTGTTGCTTACTGCAAATGAATAATATAGCA